GCTCGGCCGCGAGCGCTCCCGCGCCTGCGGTGGGGCAAGGCCTGAGGGCGGGCGGGCGGGCGGGCGGGCGCGGGCGGGGGGGGGGGGGGGTAAACGCTGCGCCGCCCCCGCACCAGCGACACCGGCCGCGGCTCGCCTCCACGCGCCGGCTCGGAAGAGGGGCTGTCGGCGGCGCAGCAGAGCGCGGCTCGCCTCGGCGCTCGAGCCGCCAACAGCCCCACTCCTCGACGTGACGGCCGTTCCCAGGGCCGTCCGGTGCGCGCCCGACCCACGCCCCCTCTCGCACCCCTCCGACCCCCCCTGCGCGGCGCACCTATCCGCTGTGCGCCGGCTCGAGCGCCTATCGCCAAATCGCGACGTTTGAGCGCAGCGCACGCGTCCCACACGTCACGCGCGCGCAGGAGAGCTTGCGGCACCGCGGTAGCGTGTACTCACCGAGGGCATCGCGCCGAAAACCCCGCGCATTCCGCCCCAGCAGAGGCTGCAGCCTCTGCACAAGCTACACCACTGTAAGAATGGTGAGTACTTGGGGTTGAGTGGGCTTGCTTGCTCCCTTAGCCGGGAGCAAAAATGCAACGCCGCGCCGACTGGAGACCAATTGTACCCACAACCGTCGGGCGACGCACACCCACCGCCGTCGGCACCGCCGTCGCCGCCCGAGCCTGCCTCCTCCCCCGCTGGAGATGCCGGCGCCACGCCGCCCTCCCCGGCCACGCCGCGGCCACCATGCATGCGGCCGGGACCGCGTCCCCGACGACGCCGAGCACTGCCCGGAGTGCCGATGGCCCCTGGACAAGACCTACGATGGGCCCGAGTACTGCCTTTACCGCCTCTGCCTGTACCGCCTCGTGGGATCGCTTGTCATGTGAGAGAGTGCGTTGTGTTCTTGTTTTGTATCCGCTTTCTCCTTCTGAGCAATGCCGACCGAGCCCGCAGCGTTCTTTTTTATGGTTTGGAAGCTTGCAAGGCGAAAATAACAAAAAAGAAAATGATAGCCTTCGGCCGTCCTTGCAAGCTCTCATCGGTCGGCGGCGCGCCTTTTGCCATGCTGAGTGAAGATGTTGTTGTTGTCGAGCCACAGCCAAGCAGCGACCAGCAGCAGACCCTTCCGAGTAGACGTTCGGGTTGGGCGCCTCTCTGGTCGTCATCCTTTTCCAACCAAGTAGCTCAGCGAGAGGAATAGACAGAGGCGTTGAAGGAACGCAGAATGGGCTCATAGACGCATGCTCCTTTTACGACCGCTCGGCACCGTTGTGGCATGCCTCACTCCGTGCCTGCCAGTGTGGCGTTTCGTTCTCTCCCATCCCGCGCTGCTTCTCTCTCCCGCCGGCCGCTCTGTCTTGAGCTCTGTCGACAGGCTTTCCCAAATAAAATGTTTGTGCAAAAATCACGCCTCAAGCGATGTCCGAGCTGCACATCGCACGCCCATCAAGAAGCTGTGACGACTGTCGGGCTGCACTGGGGGCGGTGTGCGAGGGTAGGCGGCCTCTCCAACTCTGCGACCTGCGTGGGACTAGTTGGGAGTCACGCTGCGTCCTGCCGATGAGCTGAAGCGTCAAGGCGGAGGCGCGTGCGGTGCTTGCGGATCTTCGGCTGCAAAGCAGTCTTGCGGACACCTTTGGCTGCAAAGGCCAAAGCAGTCGTCACGCCGCGCCAATTGGTGCGCTCGCGCTCTCGGCATCGACGGGATCGCCTTGCGCCTTTGCAGAGCTACATCCAAGGACAAGGTGCCGGCAGCGGGGCGTGAGAGTGCGGACTGCGTGCGGACTGCTAAAAGCGTCGAGCTAAAAGCACCAATCGGCCCTTTTGAGGTCACATCGGGCTAGCCATCGGGGCCCTTCGATTCGCTGCACGGGCGGCTGGTGGGTGGGGACGCGAGAGACCGAAGACGACGACACGCTCGAGCAACACACAGACACACACAAGCTCACAAGACACTCAGTATGTATGTATCTAGGAAGGTGAAGAACAGTCAGGCTCGGACTGGAGACCAACGCGGTATGGGTGGACGCGAGACAGATGCAGGACAGATGACGGCGACACGCTCGAGCGACACACAGACACACACAAGCTCACAAGACACACATGTCATCCAGCTGGGCTGCCACACACCCCGAGTGGGCGTACACATCACTCTTGGCCACGTCCCCCCTGTCGCCCCCCCCAGCACCCACGGTGCCAAGGGCTCAAACAACAGCACACAAACACAGACAGGCGACAGGGGGTAACGAATAACGTGTGAGGCTAGAGCAGACTGCTCCGCCTCTAGCAATCTCGCCGCCCGGCCGCAGGGCACGGACAAGACCATGTGTGGGGTCGTGTGAGGTGTTCCGCCGTAAGCTCGACGGGGCGCGCGTGTCAGCGAGAAAGTTGCGGGCGGAGCCATACCTGACTTTTCGAAGACGAGCGTCGAGCCCCCGGGCGGGCGGGCCACGGGCCCACGGCCCACGGATGCCAGTCCGTGCCTCCGCGGGAGTCGCCCTTCGAGCGGCGTCCCGTCGGCACCGTCTCAGGAAATGGTGAGAAGAAACACGACGATCGAGGGGTCCCGTGCCATGCGGAATCGACCCAATCCAGTGCACAAAAGTGCTCAAGAAGCGGGTGTTTGTTCCTTGCATATTGGCCGTACGTCATGACGCGGTAGGTAGGGTAGGTCTGGGCCCTCCCGTCGGGGTTTTCCCTCTCTTCACGCTGGAATTTTCTCAGCAGAAACAGGCAGAAAAAGAAATTTTCCGCGGAAATCACGATGATCGATGTCAACCCTCCCCAAGTGGGTGATCTGATGCTTTGTAGGGCATGAGAGTGGCCTGCCATGTCACAGGAAGGACTGTGGTTGCAGGAGAGACCAACCATCACTTCAGTTGGTATAGTACCCCACCTTCACCCGGCCTGATTTCTTTTTTAGTTTCCCATAAGTAGGGTAGGTAGGTAGGTAGGTAGGTAGGGGCAGGGCAGGGGCCGGCCAGGTTTTTGCAGAATTTCATCATGACGTACGGCCAAGCTAAAAGAACAGCCCGCGCAATTTCTTGTGCTTGTTCGGACACCTCGCCGGCACCGGTCTTGGGGCTTCTCGCTGCTCTCGCCCAGCGCCGCCAGCTCTCGCGCCCGCCAACTCTTTCCCATTCTCGCGCCGCCGCCAGCTCTGCTGCTCTCTCGAGGAACGGTGCCAGCCTAGCCCATGCTACCTGGCTTGATCCTGGCTGCTGCGGCCACCCGTGGCCTCTGCGGTCCGTCCAGCCTCGCAGCCAGAGCGCCGTGCCCTCGCCGCCAGCTGCTGTCCTACGTCGCCTTCACCGCCGGCCGAGGTGCGGCACCGACGCCCATCCACGCGCTCGTGGCCGATGTGTGGCAGCCAGTCGGACATTTGGCTGCTGGGACGCCGGAGGCGGCTGACTGGAGCGTGGCTGCGCTTGTCCGCGCCGCAACGCTCCAGCGGCGGCTCATCGCGGAGCACGCCTGCCGCCTCTACCCGCCGCTCCGCACAGAGAAGAGGGAGCACGGGCTGATGCGGGGCGTCCGTCTCGCCATCGAGGCGCCTCCTCCCTCGGCTGGCGGAGCGGCGACCTACCTTCCGCTCCCCGACTGTGAGCTTGGAGAGGCGACGCCGGCAGAGATGCTGCGCTGCGGCTTTGCAGGCGCTCCTGGCTCCGGCGGCGGCATCTACGCCGACTATGCAAGACGAGACTCCCCGCCCTACGACTGGCTGGCGGTGCGGCGGCGCCTCGCGGAGCAGACCAAGGCGGTGGAGGAGGAGGGAGGGACTGCCTCCGCCTTTACGCTGGTCGCATGGCCGCGCTGCGGCTTCTGCACCAAGGCGAGGGCCGAGCTCGAGGCCCGCGGCATCGCGTACCGCCACGTCGTCGTCGACAAGTACAGCCCCGAGCACGCCGAGCTGGCGATGAGCACCGGCCGCCCGTCGGTGCCCTACGTGTTTGGGAAAGAGGGCGTGCTACTCG